TTAACGACAAAGACTGTGCTGTGATTTCAGCTGTATTTACTTATAAAGTGATCACTCAGGGAGAAAGTTAGAGGAGACAGATTATCTTTCTTTTTTTTAAAGTCATTTTTTTCAGGCTTTTGCCTTTATTTCAGTCATAGTGACAGAAAGACTGGAAAATTGGGGAGAGAGGAGCGAGACAGAGAGGATGACATGCAGCAAAGGGCCAAAGGCCGGACTCAAACCTGGGCTGCAGGGGCAAAGACTAAACCTAAATGGCACAAGCTGCACCAGATGAGCCACTGGGGCGCCCGACCCGATACTATATTTCTTATTTTGTCTCTCACAGTCTGGGATCCACAGTAGTTTGGCCTTTATTTACTTCCAACTCCAGAACATAACAGACTTTTATTATAGGCAGGTCTTTATGTCTAACTCTGATTTGTTTGATATGTAGAATTGGTCATAGTAGTTAGTACAAAGCCTCGTTACCAATGACTTCTCTCTCTCCTGCTCTCTCTGCTTGGTGTGTCTTATGTTAACTTATTCCTCTGCCTCATTTAGTAATAATGTGACATGTAATGAAAGTAGTTTATTTGCTGTAATGGAGGCGAGGCTCAGTGTATTGGAAGCACTCGTGACTAGAGGTAGAATTATCATCACTCTGTCAGTCAGTCAATCAGTCAGTGCTATTGGCGACTATAGGGCTAGTCCTGCTGTTGAAAAAAAACTCATGGAGATTGTTGTCATTATTTAAAGATATACTGTGGAATTTTTGACCACTAGTAGCGCTTTCAAGCAATGTTTTTAAAAATGGGTCCTGTTTTGTTTGTGTCATGAACATAAAGGACAACATGGGCCAGCATATCCTTAAGATTTCTGAGACCTCAAGGATTTACATGCTGTACATTTTGGTGAGAAATGTTAATATACTTTTGTTTATTTAGAAACTCCACAATGCAGCTTTAACCTATAGACTCCTGTGAAAATGTGTACATGCTAATATACTGTATGTGCACACAGGCATGTGCACACTGAAAAAAATCTGAAATCAGCCAAACGATGAGCTTGCACTCATCACCATGCTATTATTCAGGAGTTCTTGAATGTGCCACGTCTAAAATAGATGTGCGCACGTGTGTGCGTGCGTGTGTGAGTGTGTGTATATGTAACATTTCCATATGGACAACCTAATATTGAATTTTGGTAAAAACACACACACACACACACACACACACACACACACACACACACACACACACACATAACCTAACCATCAATTTATTCCACTTTGCCTAATCATCAGCGAGGCCAAGGATGTCTCCATACATATTCATGCTGCTCTGGAGACTCAGAGAGACGATACATTTACAGCGTACATTTACCATATTACCCTTAATGTTATTAGACCAGCAAACACAATTTACCCAAATATAAGTCATACATAAGTAATTTAGAAAATGAGACAATATTAATTGTGTGATCGTCATCTGGTTTTAATCCCGTTTGTGTGATAGCACTTCTGTCTCTGGAATTGAATGCGCCTGGCTGAATAAATTAGTACAATCAATGTATGACTAGATTCTTTGTCATGTGGACACACTCTGTGCAAATCTATGCAAATGTCTTATGAGAAGAGGATAAGAGAAACTCTTCTTGGCTAACAGAGCCCTTGATGATCATAGCCTATCTGACACAGTGGTGTGATGTCATTTTCAGCTTCTCAGAGGAAAATATTTTCACAAGTGCCAAAAGAAAAGGAGAGTAAATGCTGATGACATGTATGTAAATGCTTGCTTGTACAGAGATGCACAGGCTACCCCTGTCTGTCAAAAGCATAAAAAACATATTATCCTTTTGTTGGCTACTGGAGGAACTTGGGTAACTCATAAATCTGCCATCATGACTCACAAAAAAACTTTAGTTTTCAAATGAATTTGAACATATAATTATGACTTTTATTCAAGAGAGACTATCATTTCCTTTTTGCAAATATTTCTGGTCAAATGTATCGTTCAGTTGCCAATACACCCCTCTCAGCTTTCCATTTTCCTTTCCTTCTTCCGTCCATTGAGTTTTCATCTACTCCTTCCACCACCTTCATTTTCCTCTTCTCTCCTTCCCTCCTTTGCTTTCTCCTTTTATTTCCCTTCTCCACGCCTTTGCTCCCTACCTCTATCCTAGCCCCTAGCCACCTCCCCTCTCCTCCTCTCCCCTCCCTTTGCTCCTCTCTGCCTGGTATTGATTAGAAGGCGAACCTCTAATCTCCTTAAGGTCATTAGGAACACTTAATTAAAACCTAGTTAGAATGCCTTTGTTCAACCAAAGCAAATTGCAGCTGTTCAAACGCGATTAGTATGATAACGTAAAAACTTGTCGGCAGGGAAAAATATAAGAGAGGGTCTTTTTTTAGTAGAAATGTTTACACAATTTAAATGCAGAGCACTTGAGCACACAGTGGAAGTCTACAATAGGGTATACTTGAGCTAGTGCTTCAGCCTCTTCTGTGTGTGTTTTTATGTATATGTTAAGGGTATTGTTTATATTTAACTATTGGATGTTAAGCTTTATGAAACCAGTGAAACCAGAAATTTAATTTGGAACAACATTGGTTGTTTTATAGGGCTCAAGTAAAAAGGCAAAAAAAAAAAAACACTGGCCAAAGATGGATTTGATCTTGATGAATTGTGCACAATGTCAGTATTATAAACCATACTTTCTTTTTGAGCTAGTAGTGCATACACAGACTTTAATCAGAAGCAAGAAAAAAAAAAGAAAAAAAATACGGGAAACTGAGAAGAGAGAAAATTCAGATTAGCGCCATAGTTTGGTGTATGTCTGTTAGTGCTGAGATAGAACTGTAATTAGATTATTTAAATCATAGTTGGTTAACTCAGATTTTCACACACAAAAATATATTTTATATATGTCTAAATTATCCACCATGTAGGCTATCACTAGACATTTACAGCAATACAGTACATAGAGCAGTCACTTTTACATATGGGGCTTCATCACGGATACACACTGCAATTAGTAATTCACTGTTAATTGTTACCAAGGTCCAATTAATAGCACAAATAGCAGTGCATCCCTGGTGACTGCCATTAAATTGCAAATTGCAAACACAGACACAGACACAGACACACACACACACACACACACACACACACACACACACACACACACACACACACACACACACTTTTGTTACTCTTGCAATCCCAAAAGAATGGGCAAAATGGGCAGAATATATATGCAAAACATATTGGAGTTTTGAATTATTTAAATTTAAAATTATTGATATTATTTGAAACTGAAAACATTTAATCAATTAACAGTCTTACTTAGGGTGTTTGTAAAGCATTATAGTTTGCACAAAGCACATAGTTTGAGTCAGTGTTTGAGAGCAACTAAATTGTAGCTGTTACGTTCAACATTTTATTACTGGACTTATGAATATCAAAAATCACTGATTCTACCAATTCTTCCATCCTTTTCATGGTTTCCATGTTTGTTTTTTCGTTTCGTTTTGTTTTGTTTTGTTTTCTTATCAGTGCCATGATGTATTCCACCCTTAAATTATGATATTGTAATTCAGTAAAAACAAGTTTGACTGATATTTGACCATAAAATTATTTTCCTACTTACTCTGGCTCTGAGTGGCCGGCGCAGATCACCGTTGCCTAGCGACGGAGGTAGCGTTCTTGTTTTTTTCTGAGAGCCACTTGACTGAAACCCAGACTCATCCTACGTAGGTGGGGGGTAAGGCATTACTACCAGGCAGGGGGTAATTATTTAAATCGCATATTAATGCTTTGCTGTCACGGACAGTCTTTGGTGTTCTGTAACAGATGCAGAATGGATATGTCGTACTGTTTGTTCTCACAACGCCTCCTGGGCTCTCAAGTTTCCGTTACTTGGTCCTCAACTGTGTAACGTTGCATCACCGTTACTTTGTGCCCAATATCCTGCCGCCGCGAGCGCTGCTGGCCAGATGGCGGCTCGCGATAATCTCTTTAGCACCGCGCGCTGCATGTTCTGAATGAGAGAGGTAAGACAGAGAGAGAGAGAAAAAGAGGCGCTTTGTCAAGTTCAGTTGTACTGTCATTCAGCGTTTCTGTCGAAGCGGGTGCTGTAAAGACGGACAAAATAATTCAAGTCATGTTTTTAAAGGATTATTTTTTCTGCTGGAACCGTGTCTGCTATGGCTGACGGACAGGTGTGTGGAGAAATACAGGTAGCGTGTTTTGACCGACTCATACCAGAGCAACAAGTTGAATGTTTGTTGTTGCTGCACTTGAAATGGGGATAGAGCTTTGTGCTGGGGATCCACAACGACAGGTAAACCACGAGGAGTCATCTGATATTTTACCATGTTACAATATCTGCATACATTTACAAATTTGTTAGACATACAGTTGCCATTATTAGAATCAGGGTGAGCTTTCCATTTTTATAAAGGATATTGTTGGCAAAGAGTAATTCAACACTACAGATGACTGCACTGCTGGCCTCTTGTGTGTCAAAATGTGAAATTGATGCTGATAAGCATTGTAATGAAGAGAGCTTTGGCCTAAGCCTCAATTTCGAACAAACTCATGAGAAAACCCGTTGAGTTGGATATAAACCTGGAGGCCACATGCCAGAGGAAAGGGCATGTTTAATTCAATAGAAAATGAAGAAAAGAGGAAAGCAATGTAGCAGTATCAGTTGAGCTGTGCCTCCATCAAGCTGTACATGATAGTGTAGGCTTTGGCTAGGGAATAGCCTGCATGGCATTTCACTCTCCTCAGATTTGTCTTGTGTTGGATTTTGGTCTGACCACGTCTCTCTTTCCTTCCCTCCTTCTCTCTTTTCCATCTCTAGATTGTGAAATCCTACCTATCATATGAAGGCTTTGGCTGTGGTTTGTGTGTATGTGTGTATGTGTGAGGGACAGAGAGCTAAGCTTCGTAGCCTCACCCTAGGGGCACTGGCCTGTAAAAAAAATGTCCCTGTAACCCTGGAACCATGAAACCATGACAGTCATCACTTATTCAAGCGCTGCTGGAAGGCTTCCGAAAGAAATCCAGGTTCTTGAAGATCCCTCTACCTCCGGGAATGTTCCAGAACCCCTGTCCGAGATTGTAGAACCTCGGACCATGCTGGGACCCTCAGAGAATCCCATTGCAGGATTTTGTGGGGTCAAAGGCCAGAGTTGGACTAAAGAGAAGGAAGATCAGAAAACAGGGGGAGGAGCAAAGAGAGGAAATTTGCAAAGGAAGAGACAAACATGGGGGAGAGGAGTTGGGAGAGAGAGGATGAAGAGACAAGGGAGAGAGGACCTGTGCAACTTATGGAAGAGGGTAATTAGAAATGATTCAAAAGGAAGTGGGCAAAGCAGGAGAAAAGGAAAGGACAAGAGCCAGACAGATGTCTCAGGGACTCTGTCAGCTGCAGAAACAGAGGGTGAGATCAAGCAATGGGAGAAAATGATGAGAAAAAGAAAGAGCTGGCCTGTCTTTCTGTGGCTGTTCCTCCTGAAAAAGATGACTGAAGAAAAGGTGAAGAGAGAGAGAAACGTCATGGGGCTGAGGCGCCATCATATTTTCCTGTGGCTGACTCTCCTTTTCTTCAGCCTATGTCTAAAACCTGCTTCATCACAGGTAAGAGTGGCTATCAAGAGTGAATTCTGATTTCTGATCCAAAGGTGGTGGGTTGTTAACAGACAATGTACTGTATTCATTATGACTCTTGAATAGAATTTTCCACAGTAGATGTTTTAACTTGTCATAGTAGGACAAGCACAGGTGTTACTAATGACAGTAACGATGGCTCTGCTCTATTCAAGATTCAGAGTGAGACAGCAAGAACAAAACCAGGACCCTGACATAGCTAAATGGAATTCAGCCAGAATTCATTTTATTATTTACACCTGTACTTTTCCTATTGGCATGTGTCAATATGTCTTCTATTGGAAGGTACTGTAAAATTAATGAATGCTTCCACAAATAGGTCCAGCCTTTTTTTCTCTTGCAAAGTTATTGATATTTTTATTTAAAATAATATATATATCTAATATATTTTAAATGCACTGTGTATCTGTGATGGTAAGAGATTTATTCACAAAATGGGTTGTGCTATATCATAACAGTCTACACTACATTTTGTATTTTCTTAGGGTAATTTTCCGCAAATGGAGAACATTGCTGCCTTCAAACCCATTTCCACCTCTCCCCCTCGATCCACCTGTGGAGTTCCAGAGCGGAGCAGCTACTGTCAGTCACCATCCTCAAAGACTGAGCTACTGACATGTTATCAGGCCCTCTGTATCCAAGAATGTCCCTATAGATCCTCCACACCTCCATATGCCCCATTGCTGTTACGTGCACACAGGTAGGTAAATCAAATTCATATTAATATTATTAAGATACTTTAGAAGGCGATATAATTCATTGTGACCTTTGACCTTTCAGTCCATGCAAAATAAAAAAAGTTGGAAACATGGCAACAACATAATAGATTATATAACCATAATCTTTTAACATTACTGATTTTGGCATGTGGCAGTTTTCCATATATTTGCAAGTGATAAGATCTCTTTGAAGCAAAATATGAACATATTTAAATTTTATTCCATCAGGGGTACTTGTGTAACTGAAGACAGTAATTACACTCATCTTGGGACTCGGACAGAGACTGGAACATCTTCTGGTGGATCTAGCAGTATGCTGTTTCGGCCAGTGCCGGAAGGATGTCTGGTCTCTCCCCCTTCACAGAAACTAGGAGCATTGGGTTCGCTCACCTTGGCATTGTGGATAAAACCAAGCTCTCCTGGAGAGATGTGAGTTACATTTTTGTAAGTTATAAGAAATTAGAATAGTTGGAGGCTGTCTATTAATAGAAAGAGCCATTTACTACCACTGGGTATTAAATTGAACTGGTTATCAATGCCATCTTACATTACATACAGTATACTGGACATTGCAAAAGTTAGTAGATGGGTTGATCTTAGCTAGCTTTTTCATCCTGGGGAGTGAACAGAAATTTTTTTTAAAACAGAAGTAAATTCACTGTAACTTAAATTTCAGCTTTTTACATGACATACAGTTGGTGTTTATTGTGTGTGTATGAGTGTTGGTCACACTACATTTGATACATCTAAAAATTGATAGAAAAATTCTCAAACTCATTCATTATAAACAGTACACTGGAAAAATTAGTGTTTCAAAAACTTGTTACTCACTGAAAACGATACACCCTGAAGACTTCATGTGGCTCAACCCGTAAGAGTAATAATGACACCATGTTATATTTTTCAAGCTTCCTTGATACTCTATTGGTAAAAGATGGAGTGGAGTGAATGAGAGGAAATAATGGAATTGCAGGGATACAGAGAGTTTTTTCAGTTTTGTGTAATTATGCAGATATACTTGTCAACTGTGTCAAAAGTGTTAGTCACAGTTACTGATGTATAGTATGAGAGTAGTTCAACATTGTCCCGTGCTGCAGATGAAATATAACTTCCCACTGCTTCATGTTTAGTAAAACATCAGTTCTGATATGATATTAAATATGATTATCAAACATTGACAGGACATTGAAACACCTATGATATTAACATATATAACAAAAAGCAGGTCAGGTCTGGTCAGGTCATCATCACCATGAGGAAATGTTAGCCAACAACTGGTTGTCATGTCCTACTTAGACATGTTGTGTGTGCATGTGATATTGTGAAGGGATGTGGTGGTATGTTCCAGGCTGGGCTGAGATGGTACAGAGTTACACACACTCAGATCAACTTGCAATCACACACGCATGAACACTCTCAAACACACATATACACACACAAGGCACATACACACACTAAAAGAGATCAGTTGGCCTTGGTTGGCAACCCTCTCTCTTCCTCTGCGCAGCAACACTTAGAGTAGATTGCTTCAGCAATGTGCTTTCCCATGAAACTAGAAACAGGCTAAACATACCTGACGTCTTAGTTTGTCTTTGTTAGAACATTTGTTAGTGAACTTAAATTAGTAAAAGAGTACGCCAACAATTTACCATTGCACTGCACAGTGAAATGGCTGGACTTGTGATTGACAGTTTAAGAATAAAAGTATCAAAATCAGTGCAGCAGAACCAGAGATATCATCTTTTTTTATTCCACATTTTTGTCTTCCTTGTCAAAACAAGTGTCTACATTACTCACGGTGCAACTCAATTACTGACAGTTCAGTTGGAGATTTGAGTATGTGATGCTAGTAAAGGCTAATATAGCATTGAGCTGCTAACATCTGGCATAGATGAGGAGCAGGCCACAAGGTTTTATACAACATCTTTTCACATGCCCCCAAGTCCTAGAACAGACTAAAGTTATTTTGGGGCTCTTTTTTTGCCTTTATTATGATAGTGAAGAAGGAGAGAGAGATAGGAAGGTAAGGGGAGAAAGAGAGGAGGACATGCAGCAAAGGACCTGGGCCAGATTCGAACTACCCTTTTGACATTAGCTAAATTACTTAAACGTACCATAATATGTAAAGTTATGTAGTTAAATTTTATTAGACTGTCTTTTAATATCTGGAATGGTTGGATCCATGAGGACAAACAAGAAAAGGCATGGCTCAGTGAGGAAATGGTTTCATGTTTGTGGATTGAAGAAATGTTTCAAATAAGCTGTCATGGTTTTTTAGTTTTGTTGGCCTTTCAAGAAATGAATTATGTCAAAATTCATATATTCAGTATGTGCTTAAAAGATAAATGTGACTGGTAACTTAGCAGTTAGCTGTGAAGAAAGACCTCACGCAGCACTAGACAGGTTGCATGTGTATTCTAGCAACTCATTGGATGTTCCATTTAAATGTTGCTGTCAATAAAATTTAACTCTGAAAAGGGGAATCAGACAGAGATCAAATCTCTCCTTTATATTTCATGCTGTGATTTGTTTGTGAAGTTGTCTGTCTGGGGATTCAGATGACAGACAAGTCTTGTTGTCTTGGTCTACCGAACATGACACCTGTATGGCTGAATGCATCTGAATGGAAGTAATATCTCTCCCTCTCTCTCTTTCTGGTGCTGTCACTGGCTATCAGTCTTTTGTTGTGGAGACAATCATGGCTGCCATCAAAGAAGCCAGATGAAAGGAGGTCTCTATCCTCACCTCTGTCCATCTCTCCTCACCCCTCTCTCTTTGTCTCTCCCTCTCACTGTGATTTCACAACCCTCCCCTCATGTGAACAATGAACAGAGCCAGCCACCTGTTCCTACAAACCATAGTAAAAACACATAGTAAAAGTGCATGTCCATGTTTTAGTTATCAAAGATAATGGAAAGCCTTATTAGTTGTCGGGTCTTGCTTTACTTGTGAAACAATGAACTTTTCAACATACCTTGTTCCAGCTATGGATTGAATGAATTATAGCTTGAACAGTTAATTAAACCAACAGAAAATGATTCAGCAACAATTTTTGCAATCAGTGAATCATTCAAGTAAGTATACGATTTTAAAGCAAAGATGTCAAAAGCTTAAAGGTTTTGGCTTCATAGATGTGTGTCTGGTTTTCTTAGTTATCTACAGTAGAAAACCGAGTATTTTTGAGTTTTGAACTGTTGGTCGAACAAAACAAGCACTTTAAATATTGTTTTTTAAATAATTTTGGCATTTTCCACAATGAATGAAATGATATTAAAAAAATAGTCTGCGGATTAATTAGATAATTACAATAATGGTAAACTGTGGTCTTTACTTCAATGTGGATTTTTACATATATGCCAAAAGTAAAGGCACATTTGAAACTAAGCGTTTTTCATTCCAATAAATCACAATGTTTTACTTGTTGGAACTTACCATACAACTTACTTACATTATCTTCAGTGCGTCTTTCTATCTCTTTGCCTCTCCCCACAAGCACACACACTCACATGCATGTGCAGACATACATACATATATATCTCTCTATGATTTATAGGGTATACTGCACTGGGTTCATAAAAGCCATGATTTCCCATAAAATGTCAGTGATGGTGGTTAATATGACACGTGGAGGGTGTGAATGTCTGTCCTCACCCATTGTAGCAGCAAAAACCTAGTAGTCATGTAAAATATTGATATTCTCTGTGTAAATGTCAGAATGAGAGACTGCGTGTAGTGGAGTCCACTCTAACCTCTGTTTTCTGAATTAAGTTATAACAGCTTCTCACTGACAAATATTTTTTTCTGTGTGTTTTTGTTTCCCTCAGGATGCTGCTAGAGAAGAACTTAGGAGAGCGGCTGGTTTTTTCTGTGACAGTATCTGAGAAGGCAGTCACCCTGCGGTATGTTCAGTCCAGAAGTCAGACTACTCTGATTGTCAGCTTCAGAACCGAGGGAAGGCTTGCACTAGAGAGGTGGACACACCTTGTTTTGCAGGTAAGAAATCTCAAGTATTTTGTGATCTGGACATGATTGTAAGCATGAGTGTTTATATGCATCAGTAGGTGTGTTTGAGTGCATTCAATCATTCTACCTTAGAAACACCATACCCTCAGATTTTGTTTAACTGTTGTCATGAGGTTGTGAAAGTGGAATAATCTCTTTTTATAATAGACATACTGTCTCTCCAGCTTTTTCTGCCTGTGTTTCTCTTTCATTCTCTGTCCATCATTTTCTCTTTCTCTCAGCAAGCAAGTGGTAATTATGCTGGCAAACATCTGCCTTGGCACAGCTGCTGGGGCCAGTGGCACGCGTGCACACACACACAAACACACACACTACATCAGATACACTTAGATACACATACAGTGCCTTGCGCCTTTAACACAATATTTCAAAAGAATGTATGTCCATTTTGGAAAAGTAACTGCAAAACCCCTGGAACTGTGAATTTTACTTAATTTGTTTAATTTATGTGGGTCTGTGTGTTCTATGGTTTACTGTGTAAAGCACAGAAACTGATGTTTTACTAACTGTATGTAAGGTTGTTTAATTTTGTTGCTTAGATATGTTTCTAGTTGTTGGTTCTTTTCAGATTTTGGTGGATAACAGTACTTTTTAAAGTTGTAATTCAGGGGATGGTACATTGAGTTTCAGTGTCAGAATGTGACGATGATAGTTAAATAGAAAAATAAATCATTTTTCATGGTGGGCGGATAAGTTATATTAGATTTTTTAACAGATGAAGTCTGCACCTCTTTATTTTATGGAGAACCTTGTTCTGTATTTGATGGTTTGTCAAATGAAAAGATGAAAAGAAAAAACATGAAAAAACAAGGAAACAAACCTCCAGATTTACCATTATCACATAGATCTGTGGAAGATGTTCTTCTTTCTCTTAGTGGTGTATATAACAACAATTTCTGTATGTATTCTATTCCTTTGGTGTTCTCTGTCTTTCTTTCTTTTCGTAAGAGGCAGTTGACCTTATTGGTACATGAACTAGAAATTTTAGAGGATATCAGAAGTTAGAAATATAAGGCTGTCGTGGACAAAAAAAAGCATTCATTAGCTCTGATCATTCTAAAATGACAACTAGTGAAGTGGGGAGAGGCCCCAAATGAATCCCTGTTTGTGTGTGTGCATGTGTTTTTGGTCTGTTGAAGAATATCATTTTACACATTACGCCACTGGACAGTCTCTCTCTTTCAACATCTCTGAATAACACCGGGGCAACTAAGGGAGAAGACATGGTCACCATGTCAAACTTTTTCACTAGTGCCTGTAACTTAAATTGCCTATGTATTCTTTTTGTATAATCTTTTAACTCAAATTGTGATTAGACCTGGCATGGATTTTAATGGGCCTAATTACATTTTGTCTGTAACCTTTTTTTATTGCCCCTCCCATTTACTACTACATTTCATGTGATAGTAAAAAATGAATGTGGTAAATTAGAAAAAAGTAAAAACCAGCAAAACAATTCTGCATGATCATGGATCAACTCGCTTCACTCTTCCTCTAGTGTTGAGCAGCTGTTAATGCATACTCAGTACCTCCGACAGGTGCTTCAAAGTAAAAGTCTTCAAAGAAATGCTGGAAAGGGTAGTACTATGCAGCACACCACTCCTTGTTCAACCACAAATTCCCATTCTTGTATTTCTGTTTGCAGTTGGATTAAATAAATGAGACAGAACTTGTTGATTGCTAAGCTTTAGAGGTTTGGTGGGTAAATTTTTTAGCCAGGCTAGCTGTTTCCTCCTGTTTCCAGTTTTTGTGCTAAGCTAAGCTAATCACTTCTCGCTCTTGCTCCGTAGTTAATGTACAGACATGAGAATGGTATCAGTCTATTCATTCAACCATTGGCAAGAAATCATATAAGCTATTTTCCCAAAATGCAAATTAAAACATAAATAAAGGTAATACTAAAAAGTAAAAAAAAAAAAAGAAAGAAAAAGTACAAAATTATAAAATCAGGCTGTTCCTCAAATAAAAGTCTATTGCAAATAAATAAACTATTTGATCACCCTTTTTCTTGGAACTATAAAGCTATTCAGTTTTTTTACTGTTAAAATTACTCTGTAATGTTTTTCAAACAGCTAAATTACATGTATGGTTTTGAAAATAAGAATGGGAGTGCAAAATGCAAGGAAATAAAAGGCTGTGCTGTTAACAGCTGCAGTTTGATTGAAAGCAAGGTTCACAGCTGGAGGGGTAATACAGGAATGATGAAGTTATACATGTTGACCAGTAGGGGTGGGCATTCTGACAATTTTATATCGTGGACATTCTTACTTTGGCACAGGATCTACTTTTTTGATGAGTCGTACAGATTGTGTCATTAAAAGACTAAATTTACAGTCCGTCAGTGGGACAAGAGACCTGCCTACAGGCAGGGAAACATGAAGTGGGAGGAGCCAGGGCCAGCTGGTTAGTAGGGACTGGCCTTTCTAACTAAAATACTTGCATATAGCAGAAAATAAATAAATTACAGCACTGGCCAAACGAATGCTTCATATGAACTACGCAAAAAATAAGATTGGTTGTGACACGGTTTGTAAACAGAAGACAGCACTGTGGGCAAAGAGTAGCGGTAAGCAAACACATTTGAAAGAAGCATCAAAGCGGCAAAAAGATAAGAGTCACATCCTCCAGTCAGGAGTGTCAGAGTAAAATCAGAGCGGAAAGAGGATACAGAGATTTGGGCCTTTAGCCTTGATTTTCAGTGACCAGCTTTGTGTCCAGGCAACCGTATGCACAACTCATCATGTGATCACATGATTTCAACTAAATCTATGTGAGTAATTCAGATCGTGGAATGCAACTCTGCTCTTAAAGATTGTCATTTATTCTTTTGGCCAGATCGTCCACCACCTATCCAGAAAATCTGACTTGACAGTTTAGTTTACAGGCTGGCTGATTGGTGTTGATGTCTGGTACAGTAGTTTGGCAGTCCGACGTGTCGTTGGCTAAATGTAGTGTTGCTGATGGCTCAGTTGCTATCTAGTGTGTGTATGTGTGTGTGTGTACAGCATGTGTGTATGCCCTGTGAGGATCAGGATTTTATATATGTACAGTATTTGTGTTCTGTATATGTCCATCTAGGCATGGAAAAAGGCCTGTTGGCACTTTGCTAAAAGTGTGCTGCGTTGGTGTAGCTTGGAGGTGTTTTGAAACTTTGTGTGTGTTTGTGCATTCTTGTGAATCAGCCTGTCTCTCTATTAATGGTATGGTGATGTGATCTGCTTTGACCATCCAGAAGAATAACATAATCATCCTTGACACTCAAACACCGTTTGCACCTTCCCATTCTCATGCATGCACACACACTTATGTACCCGCTCTCTTACACATACACACAGACACACACAGTTCAGTGGTAATTTGTAGAAGCCTGTCAGCCACAATACAGACATTACCCTATAGTAGCTGGGTAATTTAGAAACCTTTCCTACACACATACAGTACACACATACGCCTTACACACACACACACACACACACACACACACACACACACCAATCATCTGTCGGTTTGAAAAGATCAAAACACCAAAAAAGACGGTCAAAAGGAATACGGGTTTCCAAGTGCCAGGAGCAATTCACACAGTCACACACACACACATGTGTGTGCACACTTGTACACACATGGTGCCAGGAGCAAGGTGCTGTAGGGATGCTGGTGCTCCCTAGGTAGTTGTCTTATCTGATTATGGTAACGATGTAGAGAATAGTGGAGGAAAAGGTAGCCTGGGGGAGGGAGGGACTGAGAGAGGAGGAGAGATGGGGGAAGTGAGGAATGTGGCTCAGTGAAGTTAAGTGATAGCTTCGAAGTCATTCTACAATGGGACTCACCTTTCATTACATTTCTGCAGAAGTTATTAACCATCTGTAGCTCTCCTACGTAGAGAAACATCTGGTATTATGGTGGCTGATGATCTGTGTATAATTAACAGAACTTGGTGGTCCTGGGTGTTTACATTGTGGTCCCTTGGTACACAGTGGTGTGTGGGGGCAAAAAGAGCAGCAGTGGTACGTGCAAAACAGTGGATAATAAGACTGAGAAGGTGGTACTCATTAAAGAGAATGAGCTGCATGTGTTAACAAATCACCTATTGATATCATGAAGCACTTCATAGTTAAACATGTAAAATTTCATCTTATGAACATGATCAGCCTCCAGACACTCAAATCATATATGCTGTTCTTTCAGCTCCTGACAGATATCTGAGGGGAAATACTCTGATCCACCATAAAATTTGTATTTTATTTAAGTGGATCATTATTGGGTATGCTTATTATATTTCTGTGTCATGAAAGCTGCAGGAGATGTGTTACATTATGCAGACTGCATGAAAATGTAAGCAGTATCCCGGTGGGAAATGCTATCAACAAGCATGAGGCCCACGGGACTTCGAACACACTATCTGTTGGTGTTTTGTGACTTTAAGTACGTACTTTATTTATGTAATTTCTTAAAACATAGCAACACTAATTTATATTTATCTGTCATTAGTATTGAATTTATACCTGATGACTTATATTTTCGGATTCGGATCAATGTGCTCCCAGTTTAAAGAAGCAGTCGGGAATACAGGTACAAAAGCTGAGCGATATGCTGCTGTGGTCGGGGCCAGCTGCGAGGATACTTTTTCATCTTCAAGTCTTGTACATTGTAATAGCTATTGTGTTGTACTACTTTGTAATGGCTATTACAAAGTCTTGTACTTTGTGCGATTGTATGATTTTTGCAAGTAAAGTGGACAAAAGTTTGAAAATGTGCTGTGAGCGAAATGGGAAATGTAGAAGTAGTTGTCAGAAGAGGAAGAGAAGTGAGATAAATAGCAAAAAGAAGTGTCTTGGAAGTACAGAGCAATGAAGAGAAGTGGACAAAGACGGAAAGAAGAGAAAGAGAGTTCACAATTTGAATAGCTTTGGCGTACTATCTTTTGGAGTACCAATGATTGACTGTGTGCCTGGAGGACCCCCAGAGGGGTC